TCTGGCAAGGAGACCCGAGGCTGAAGGTTGAGCTGATGCGCTGCGTACTGAACCGCAAACGGCCACAGAAAATGGGGAGCAGCCGCATGGATCATGGACGTACGAGCGACGTCCATGACCATGCCAATGCGGCGCTCAGCAATCCCATTTTGCTGTGGAGAGGCCGGAAGCGTGAAGGCCTGGCGGATGCCCTGTGCACGGCAGAAGGCTCCCAGACGGGCAGAGGAAAACTCCCCGCCTCTGTCAGAGTGCAGACGCAGAACAGGAAAGTCCGAGCCGAAACTCTCTCTGAGCTGGAGACGTGCTGCGCGGATCCAGTCGATCAACACCTCAGTGACGTCACCCTTGCTGCGCAAGGGGAACACCGTGGTGTAACGCGAGAAGTCGTCAACCACCAACAGGAAGTAACGCTCGTGACCCTGGCCACGGACGCGGGCGGGGCCCCACACGTCCATGTGAAGAGTCTTCAGGGGAGCCTCTGTCGGAGGAAACTCGGAGGAGTGAGGGGCGGCGCGCTGCCGCCCCTCGACGCAGGGAACGCAGGTAGGGGCAGGCCCCGGAGGGAGGGGAGGGAGGGACCGGGGGAGACCAGAGACAAGGACACGGGAGGCCATGCCTCCGAGACGAGGCAGGGAGGGGTGACCAAGGCGGTGGTGCCAAAGGAGAGTCTGGTGGGACAGGAGACGACACGAGCAGGGAGCAGACTCAGGACCAGACCTGGACGCTGCAGCAAACACCTGACTCGACGCAGCTACCTGACCAGACGCAGCAACCGGAGGAGACTCAGTAGTCAGTGTGTACAGGCTCGACCCCGGTCGACGGGTAAACGTGGCCAAGTGTCGGCCCGTCCGAGCACACGTACAGTGGGTCACCCGCTGACTCGCAGGAGTGAACTGGTCAACCCCCCGATCCTGTAGATCAGCACCACTCACCAAGTTCGTAGAGAACGAGGGGAGGTAGAGACCTGACAGGGTGCCAGAGGGGGCTGCCGGACACGGTAAGACAGTGGAGAAGCTAGCAAGGACAGGACCCCCAGAGGGGTCCGCCAGGGAGACCGCAACCGGCCGGCTAAGCGGCGTAAGCGTGGTGCGGTCTCGAAAGAAGGAGCGGGAAGCACCCAAGTCAAGGGTGAAGGTGTGTAAGGCCTGAGCCGACGTGGTACCTGAGAGAGCAGACTCACCAGCACCTGGGGCAGCAGACGCACTAGCACCTAGAGCAGCAGCCTCACCAGTACCTAGAGCAGCAGCCTCAATGCCCGGGTCAGGCGGAACACACAGGTAACAATCACCCTCATCACTAGTAGACACAGCATACATGGCAGCAAGAATAGCATCATAGTCAAGATCAAAGATAGCAACCCCCGCCCTAGACAGCTCTCCCCAGCGAGGGATCTCAGTGGCGTCAGGGAACTGGTGACGCCAAGCGTCCGTCAGGCGGCCGAAGCAGCGCTGGGTGGAGTGCGAGCCCCCGCACTGCTCACCAGCGCGGTCGCCAGTACGGAGGACGTAGGTACAGGGACCAGTACCCCCACCTCGCTGACGCCCAGCGTACCACTCACGAAGCTGCTGGGGGGACGGGGTCTCACGAGTGCGCTGCTGCTGCTGGCGCTGACCACCACCGGAGCCACTCCTCTGTGCAGAGCCGCGACCAGCTCCACCGCCGCCGCCTCCGCTCCCACCGCCACCGCCGCCGCCTCCTCCGCCTCCACTGCTGCCACCGACACCTCCACCCCCGCCACCACTCCCACCACCACCCCCACCCCCTCCACTGCCTCCACCGCCACCTCCACCGCCCCCGCCAGCCCCTCCAGCGCCCTTGCCCCCCTTGCCCTTGCCTGTGCGGCGTCTCCCGCTAGGGGCAGACGCAGCGCCGACCGACTCGGTGCCAACGAAGTCGACGGCAGCAGCAGAGGCAACAGAGGGCAAAAGGGGGAAGGGGGAGCACCCCTCAAAGAAGGGGGCACGAGGGTCACCACGAGAGGCTCCTACAGCGACTATGCTCGTCTCTGCTGCCAGAAGGCGCTCCTCGAGGAGGTCAACGGTGAGTGTGGTGGGGCAAACTGAGAGGAAGTGGGCCCTGACTAAGCGAAGGGAGTCAGGGAGCCGGGTGACTATGTAGTAGAGGGTGATGTACATGGGGGGGGGGTTCTTGGCGCAGAACTCAGCAGGAAGCGCAGCGCGGTAGCGGGTGTCACTAGTGCGAAGGTGCGTAATGAGGTCAGCGACTGTGGGAAAGGCGGCTAGGTCAGGGAACAGGTACGGCAGCATGAGGCGGCTAAGGGCAGCAGTGGCAGGGGAAGAGTAGCGTGCAATGACAGCGTCGTACAAGGTCTTAGCACTCTTGTACTGACTAAAGTGCGCGCGCTCAGTGGACGGCAAGTGACTACGCACAGCAAGACGGGCAGCAGCATTGCGTGTGGCCCACTGTGAGCGAACAGTGCTGTCAGCAGCAGCAGCAGGGGGAGGAGAGGCGCCAGAGGTGAGATCGAACAGTGAGAGACCGTCTTTCCTATCGCACTGTAGGAAAAGCTGCAGATCATCGAAACAGACCTCAAAGTCAACATCCCTACCCTCAGCATCAAAGACGAGGACGCTAGGGGTAGCCATGACAGCAGTAGTAGCAGTAGCAGCAGTAGCAGCAGTAGCAGCAGTAGTAGCAGGAGCAGCAGTGTGGCGACGCTCTTACCAGGGCAGAGGGCCGCAAGTGGTGGGGCAGGGCCGAGGCGCACCGGCAGGGACGGGCCGAGGTGCGCAGGCAGAGCCGAGGCGCGTCGGCAGGGACGAGCCGAGGCGCGCCGGCAGGGACGGGCCGAGGCGCGACGCCAGGGACGGGCCGAGGCGCGCCGGCAGGTACGGGCCGAGGCGCGCCGGCAGGGTCGGGCCGAGGCGCGCCGGTGGCTGCTGCTGGTGACGGCTGCGGCTGCTGCTGGTGACGGTTGCGGCTGCTGCAGTAGGGGCGGTGACGGTGGGCCGCGAAGGGGCCGAGAAGGGCGGCGCGAGGGGCCGTAAGGGGCCGACGAGGGCGGCGCGAGGGGCCGTAAGGGGCCGACGAGAGCGGCGCGAGGGGCCGTAAGGGGCCTACGAGGGCGGCGCGAGGGGCCGTAAGGGGCCGAAAGGGAGGCGTGAGGGGCCGTAAGGGGCCGCTAAGGGCGGCGCGAGGGGCCGACGGGCGGCGCGAGAGGCGGTAAGGGCCGTAAGGGGCCGCACGAGGGGCTGTAGGGGCGGCGCGAGGGGCCGTAAGGGCGGCGCGAGGGGCCGTAAGGGGCCGCGAAGGGCCGTGAGAGGGGCCGCTAAGGGCGACACGAAGGGGCCGTGAGGGGCCGTGAGAGGGCGCGACGGTAGGGAGGGCACACGGGGCGCGACTCGGGCAGGAGCGAAGCGCGCTCCGGGCAGGAAATATATATATATATATATATATATATATATATATATATATATATATATATATATATATATATATATATATATATATATATATATGTATATATATCGTGGTGGGCCCTGAGAAGTGTTCCCACTAGGGAACCTGCTCTATACCATGTGAAGAAATGAGGAAGGAATGAATGAACTAGCAAGCAGGTGGGTACAAGTAGGAAAACCTAAAAGTGTTGTACCCCATATTGTCTACCCCACTACAGCCTACACAGACTATAGCATATGAGTTTGACACTCTCTCCCGTCGCCTCCGCGCTCTCTCTCCCGTCGCCTTTGCGCTCTCTCTCCCGTCGCCTTCGCGCTCTCTCTCCCATCGCCTTCGTGCTCTCTCTCCCATCGCCTTCGCGCAATCTCCCCTCCCATCCCGTCCACTTCATCTCCTATCGCTCACGTCCTCCCCTCCCATCCCGTCGTTCGCTTCTTTTCCCCTCCCATCCCGTCGTTCGCTTCCTTTCCCCTCCCATCCCGTCGTTCGCTTCCTTTCCCCTCCCATCCCATCGTTCGCTTCCTTTCCCCTCCCATCCCGTCGTTCGCCTCCTCTCCCCTCCCATCCCGTCGTTCGCCTCCTTTCCCCTCCCATCCCGTCGTTCGCTTCCTTTCCCCTCCCATCCCGTCGTTCGCTTCCTTTCCCCTCCCATCCCGTCGTTCGCCTCCTCTCCCCTCCCATCCCGTCGTTCGCCTCCTCTCCTCTCCCATCCCGTCGTTCGCTTCCTTCCCCTCCCATCCCGTCGTTCGCTTCCTTTCCCCTCCCATCCCGTCGTTCGCCTCCTCTCTCCCTCCCTTCCGTAGTTGTTCACGGTCTCCCCTCCCATCCCGTTGTTCCCCTCTCTCTCTCCCTATTTTTTTACCTCTCTCAACCTCAAGCCCAAGGAACCCTTTTTCTTGCAGCTCTTCCATTCGTCGGCCAACATTCACTCCCAGATCGTGCATATGTGGGTGCGCTGAGTTGTGCCTGTGCTGTTGATTGTTGTGAGTTTTGGTGAAGTTACGATGACTGCTCGAGTAAGTACAGGCCTTGCAACCTTGCGCCAAATTCGCACATGTATGTGTGTGAGTTGTGTGTGAGTTTCGCCGCCAATCAGAAATGTTAACAGGTTCCAAATGTTCCCCGTTCATATCGAGACTTGTCTGGAGTGAAAAAATAAAAACGTACAGCACTCCCAAAAAAACTTTTGTTTTCAAGTGGACCCAACTAGAAGGGGGGGGTCACTATTTTAGCTGTTGGCTTTAAACCATCCATAAACCATCCCAAATGCAAGATAACCCAAGCATTTTTTCTAGTGTACGAGATCAGACATATATGTCTACTATCCAGGCGATGACGGTAGTACAAGTATCATCCAGTGGAAAATTTATTCAAGGTGTCAAACTATACAGAAGTCAAGGAGAATGCAAAGAACACAGCACAGCAGCAAAGCAAAGCTGTCCAGTCTTAGAATTGGATTAGGTCAGTCACTGAGAGCACAATATCCACAATCAATGGTCAAATGGAAAAAACAGCAACCGAAACAAAAAGCATACGGTACAGGTATGGTCAGACAACTGCATACTGGTTACCAGCGTACCTCACAAGACCATAGGGCGGGAGCTCGCCGCATTCATCTGTGGTGCAGCACACCAGAGGCCAGCCCATATAATCCTTTCCCCATTCCATGTGATTTGCACCGTGTGCCCTTTCTCCTTCACATCATACCCCACCTCGACCCCATTCCCGCTGAAACCACCAGCACCACCGATTCCTCTTCTCTTGCCTCCCACCCGAAACGGCGCCAGATCCAAAATCTTGTCCACAAGGTTCGGCGAAACGGCTCGGGGAAAAAATCCGAGCCTCTCCAACCGGGCCTGCCACTGCTCTACACGTTCGGACCGGACCATGCGGTCAAGGCCCTCACAAGCAATAACATTGACTATGTCGCGGGCAAGGTAGGAGGACTCAAAGAGGGCACGGCGCGGCGAGGAGCGCGGCAGGCCCGAAGCGTCAACGCAGGAGAGGAGGTTGGTGAAGTACATAGCTGCTTCGCGGAAGCGCGAGAGGAAGAAGGGCCCGTTGAAATTGGCGTCAATGTCAACCAGGGCAAAGGCTGCCGGGCGCAGGGCATGCACAGCCTGGACAAAGGGATGGCGGTGGATCAGGGAGGTGGATTCAGGAGGGGGGTTAGGGGCAGGGGGGAGAGGATGGGGAGGATGGGACGCGGTTAAGACGAGGAGGGGAGAGTGGTGGCACAAGGAGGAATATATTACCAAGCAAACAACGAAAAACAGGACGTTAAAGGAAGTCCCACCCAACGCGTTCCCACCCCTCTAACCACCCTCCTTTACCCATCCCAACTCCAACACAAGCCCCAGCAAGCCTCACCCTTCCCCACCCATCCCCCATCCCCTTCACCCCCCTTCACCCCTCCTCATCGCACACTCACTCTGAGCACCATGTCGCGCTGATTCGCACGCACCACGGACACATCAGGCAGAAACTGCATGTGCATGGCACACGTGACCACTACCACCTCCCCAGGCTCCCCTCCCCGCTGCACCATCCCCGGGCGCAGCGTCTCCATCCTTACGCCCGGCCGCCGGAACTCGAAATTCAGCCCCAGCGCAGCAGCCGTCGCCTCAAACTTAAGCCAGAAATCCAGCAGCGCTGTTTTCATGGCGATCTTCCCGGGGCTAGTAGGCCCGTCGATAGCTGTGAGGGTGATGCGGGGGGGCGGGCCGTTGGGGAGGTCGAGGAGCGAGTGGAGCAGGCCCATCCAGTTGTCTCCTGGGAACATGCCGAAGGCGACGATGTGCAGATGGGTGCAGATGGGTTCGGTGGCGAGGGCATGGAGTATTGCCTCGTGGATTACGGTCCGGCACGTGTGCACAAAGGGGACTGTTCTGCACAGCAGCAGCACCGCTTGAGAGAGCTCCTGGCAGGGTGAGCACAGGAGGTTGGGAGGGCAGGAAGAGAAGAAGGGGAGCGGCACAGAAGGAAGGACAATAGCAGCCGAGAAATGGGAGAGCAGAGTCAAAATGGGTACAGGAGAGGCGGCAGGGGGGAAAAGAGGGGAGAAGCACAGAAAGGTGAAGGGAGGAAAAAACAAGGGAGATAAAATGGAGAATGGGCACTGACAGGGGCAGGGGAAAGCAGGAAAAGGACAGATAATCCAGACGACAATCAGGGCCAGTGATCGTATCAAATCCCAACCAGTCCCACCCATGCACTACCATGCCCCAGGTACCAATCCCCTCACAGCTCCCTATCCCTGCTGCTCCTTCCCTCCCGAACCAGCCCCTCCACATCCAACCCGTGAACACCATTATCATCAACAGCAGCAGCAGCAGCAGCAGCAGCAGCAGCAGCAGCAGCAGCAGCAGCAGCAGCAGCAGCAGCAGCAGCAGCAGCAGCAGGAGCAGCAGCAGCAGCAGCAGCAGCAGCAGCAGCAGCAGCAGCAGCAGCAGCAGCAGCAGCAGCAGCAGCAGCAGCAGCAGCAGCAGCAGCAGCAGCAGCAGCAGCAGCAGCAGCAGCAGCAGCAGCAGCAGCAGCAGCAGCAGCAGCAGCAGCAGCAGCAGCAGCAGCAGCAGCAGCAGCAGCAGCAGCAGCAGCAGCAGCAGCAGCAGCAGCAGCAGCAGCAGCAGCAGCAGCAGCAGCAGCAGCAGCAGCAGCAGCAGCAGCAGCAGCAGCAGCAGCAGCAGCAGCAGCAGCAGCAGCAGCAGCAGCAGCAGCAGCAGCAGCAGCAGCAGCAGCAGCAGCAGCAGCAGCAGCAGCAGCAGCAGCAGCAGCAGCAGCAGCAGCAGCAGCAGCAGCAGCAGCAGCAGCAGCGGCGGCAGCGGCGGCAGCGGCGGCGGTGGCGGCTGCAGCGGCAGCAGGTAGCGGCAGGCAGTACCTGAATGGGGACGTCGAGGGGTCGCCAGTAAATCTCCAGTCCGCGGCCCTCCTGCCGTGCAGAGAGCGCCTCCAGGAAGTAGTGCACCGTGCGCTGCAGTGGGTCGCCCATCGGGTCAGCTTTCTTTGTCAGCTTGCGATTCAGAAACCGAATCTTGGCCTGCGCGAGTAGGGTACATATACAAAAGCGGGTGGACGGAAACCGGGGGAGTGAGGGGGCGAGGAGGGGAGGGGTGGAAGGGGAGAATGTGGGAAAAGGGGGCAAAGAGCACAAGAAGCTAGATGGTGAGTTCAACGAGGAAGAAGCACTTTCACTTCTCCCCCCTTTTCCCTCCCAGATCGCATGATATGGTATGGATGAAATGCGTGGCATGGCAAGGCATGGCATGATGGTATGGTACGGAATGGTACTCACGCACACACGCACGCACGCACGCACACACACATCTACCCATGCAGCTTCCACTCACCAGGTCATCAGTAGCATACGCCTCAGCGAGCGCGGTGAGCTGGTCTACAGTGCGCAGCCGTGCAGTGGACGACACCAGCGCCAGGCTCTTTTTAAAACATTCCAAAAAGGCATGCAGCGCAGCTCCCCGCCACTCACCAGGTCATCAGTAGCATACGCCTCAGCGAGCGCGGTGAGCTGGTCTACAGTGCGCAGCCGTGCAGTGGACGACACCAGCGCCAGGCTCTTTTTAAAACATTCCAAAAAGGCATGCAGCGCAGCTCCCCGCCACTCACCAGGTCATCAGTAGCGTATGCCTCAGCAAGTGCAGTGAGCTGGTCCACAGTGCGCAGCCGTGCAGTGGACGACACGGGCGCCAGGCTCGGCTCATGCTGCCACACCCCCGCCGCCTCCCTCACCACCGCCTCACCCGCCCGCGACTCCAACGGACACCCAATGTAGATGGGTTCCGGATAAATGGCCCTCTGGATGGCTCCTGCGGGTATGGCCATGGGCATCGAGGTGGCGAGGGAGAAGCGCGGGGTGGAGGAGGCTGAGATGGTGGCAGAGATGGCAGCAGGGAGCGAGGGACGAATGCGGGGAGGCGAGGCGGAGGCGGAGGCGGAGGGGGAGGCGGCGGAGGCGGTGGGGGAGGTGAGGGCAGTGGGAGAGTTGGCATGAGAAGGGCTGGAGGTGCGGGCGCCAGCAGCAAGGCGGAGGAAGAGGTCATTCTTGGACAGGCCACGGTGGGCCGCAGAGGGGAGTAGCGCCAGCGCTGAGGACACGGGAGCAGCTGCTTCGTCGGGTACTACCGCTGGGGGTGTGTCAGAACCGGTGTTGGTGGTAACCGCGTGTGTGGCGTGGCTCATGCTGCTGAAGTGCCTCCGTGCAGGCAGGGCGAGGGCACGGGATGAATTGCCAGCCGCTGCCGCCTTCCCTCTAATCCCAGATACCAGGCTGTCGCTGCCGCTGCTGCGGTTGCCGTTGCTGTCGCAGTCGCTGTCACTGCCGCGGTTAAAAAGCATGCGAAAGACGTCCTTCTCATTGCTCCTCTTCACAACAGCCCCAGCGTGCCCACTACTGTATGCATCAGCCACCGCGTCCGCCTCTTCCTCCTCCTCCTCCTGCTCCTCTTCCTCTTCCTCATCCTCCTCCTCCTCACCCAATCTCCCAGACCCACGCCAATATCCACCCAAAGACAGGGCTCGCTTCCCCGTCTCTGTCAATGCGACCGGCTCTAACTCACCAGCACCACCATCCACACAACCCGCGTTCCACGTTCCTCCCTTGCCAACACTCCTGCCAGCCCCACTAATCACACCCCTAGCTGCCCCCTTCCTCGTGTGGTGAGTGCCTGCTGCACCTGCCCCTGCCCCTGCCCCTTCCCCTACCCCTGCGCCTCTCCCAGTCACCGTTTCTCCGCCCCGCTCCCCGCCCACAGACCCCAAGCGGAACCCCCCTGCTGCTGCGCGCTGCAGCGCGCCGGAGCTCCACCCGTCATCCGCGTTAAGAGCAGCAGACGCGGTAGCAGCAGGTGCCGCCGCGGGGGAGCCAGCCGCGGAAACAGTCCCAGAGCTGCTGATTCGACTCAAACCCTCGCGTCGCACGCGGTCCCAGAGAGACAGCGCCGACGTTGCACCGCCCATGACAACCCCAACCCCACCAGCACCAGCAGCAGCAGCAGCAGCAGCGGCAGCTCGAGGAATATCACCGTCACCACCAGCACTTAAGCCACCGTCGACAAGCGAGTCCGCAGCAGCAATCCGGTCAATCACAGCCGCCAATCGCTGAGACAGATCTCTAGGTCGACGGCCGGGATTGGCAGCGGAAGAAGTCACTACAAGAACTTGCTGTCGCTTCTTGGGAGGGCTAGCCCGACCCCCCACACTAACCGCACTGACTTTTGGTGAAAAGGAACCAGCAGGTGCTCTGACCCTTGATCCAGCTACCACTGCCCCCCGCACTCCCGCTCCCGCCCCAGCCCCCGCTCTGCTGCCCGCCCCTGCGGCAGAAATCAGCGCGGATTGAGACCTCGCGGTGCATTTATCCCCGCGCGCACCAGGAGCACAGCGCCCGCATGGGCACGCGGAGCTGTGATACTCCTTGCGCGCGCGGCTGCTGTGCGCGAGGGCCGTGGGCGCAGAGGTCCATCGGGGGAAGGCGGGCTCGCCCGCAGGAGGTGAGGGTGAGGCAGCGTGCGCGTGAGAAAACTGCAGCAGAGGTTGCTGAACCCGCCATTGCGGCTGTTGTTGCGGCCACTGCTGCTGCTGCGTCTGCGGCTGCTGCTGCTTATCTCCCTGGCTATGGTACGAGTACTGCTCTTGCAGATTCTCCTGTCCGTGCAGCTGCTGCTCCGCGCCTTCCCCGTCCTCCGCTCCCGCCACCGTCGCTTGCACCATCGCCTCGCCGTCGCTCCCAGAGAAGCACGCGTGGGGGCTGCTGCCGTTCAGACAACTGCCGTTCAGGCTGCCTCCCCGCCAACCCACGGACGCCGACTCATGGCTCTGCTGCTGCGGTTCCTGATGTTCCTGATGCTGCTGATGCTGCTGATGCTGCTGATGCTGCAGCTGCAACACATCTACTCCACCACCCAATGTCCCTTCATTCGCAACTCCTCCCCAATCTGCTCCGCCCCCTTCCCCAACATCCGCCTCCGCCTGACCCCCGCCCACGGGGAAAATCCCGCCAACACCGCCTTGCGCCAACGAGTCTAGATTCGCGCTTTCCGTGTACGCTTCCTCATCCCCCGCTATCACGCCACCTTGTATTCCCACGACTCCGCCTTCTGCGCCGCCCTGGGCTCCTCCGCATTGAACCGCGGAAGCCGCAACGCCTTCCCCATCGATACTCTCCGCGCCGCCATCCGCGCACCCTTTTCCGAGCGGCTGCTCGTCGGCAAGCCCAAGGTCCGCCGCGAGCAGCGCCATCCAGCCGTCCTGCTGCTGGGCCGGCAGCGACGACGTCGCGTTGGGCGGCAATAACGGCATCGCCGAGTAAAGCGTCGCTGGCAGCATCGCCGGCGTCGCTTCTGGTCGACCGTCTTGGGGGTAACCAGCGTGCTGCGACGAATTCGTTGCACCGTGAGGCTCGCGAAGCTGCTCGCAGTAGCCTGCGACGCGAAGAAGCCCACCGTCAGCATCACCTTCAGGTTCACTGTGAAGCTTTTGAGACGATGGCGATCCGTCTGTTACATCGCTCGGTTCGCCGGCTGCTTGCCCCGGCAGGTCACACAGGTCCGTAAACGTCTCGAGCCCGTGAAACGCGTCGTCTAGCAAACCAAGGCCGTAATCCCCGTCAGCGAACATGTGAGTGTCGGGCCCGACGGGAAATGATTCGAACGACGCGTTCACTCCCGCGGCCTCCATGAGCGACGGAGCCGCGCCGGGAGCGAAGGAAGGGGGCTGTGGCTCGATGGAAGTTGGATGGGGATCGAGGTGCTGAGAGACGGATTCTCGAGGTGCGACCTGCGGAGCGACGGAATCCCGGTGGTCTTGAAAATCGTGTGGTGGGTACGCGCATTTGGTACCTGTGGCGAGGGCGGCGATGGCGGAAGACTGAACGGGAGCCTGCGAGGGGAGTGAGCTGGGAGTAGGGTGTACGAGGGGTGTGGAATAAGGTGGAAACATGATACGACGTTACCTGAGTTAGGGGATAGGAGGGGACCTTGAGATAGGTGAATGGCGACTACAAAGGAATGTATGGACAGAAAGCGAGGAAAGGGTGTCGGAGGAAAAGGCTTGACGAAAAAGCTGCGCATGCAACAGCGAACCGTGATACTCTGGTTTAAGATTCACGCAAAAAAACGAGCCCTAAAAAATAACGAGCCCTCACCAAACCAAACATCTCCGCAAGGACGCATTACGATTGCAACACTTGCAGCCAAACTGAAATCACACGATACTATGCAGTCATACGTGTTGACGTACTTCCGACAGGAGCGCGAAAGACCCCCGGAGGCGAGAGGCGTATTGTAGAAGAGATATAGTGGCGACGGACTCTCTGGAGCCATCATTGCCGACAGCTAATAGCAGAAGCACTGAGTAGCGTTTGCAGAAAACACACCACACCAACGAGTCCTTGGTCAATCAAGCTCCTAGATACTGTCTCTAAAAAAAAGGAGCATCCCCAGTTAGCGGCACCTTCCTAATTAGCAGCACCAGAAGGCACTAATGACACTTTCCCCCAATCAATGTGGTTGATAAGTGGTGCCACGTTTTAGGTGTGCATGAGGGTGGTGTGGTGAGACAACTCTTTGATGGGGTTGTTTATGGCTAACAGTGGCAGCGTGGCAGACACAGAAGCACGGAGTGGCGGACACAGAAGCACGGAGTGGCGGACACAGAAGCACGGAGTGGCGGACACAGAAGCACGGAGTGGCGGAGACATACAGTACAGTATGAGAGGCGAAGGCGGAGAGATTCCGGTACGGGGGGGAGCAAGTCACGGAACAGACAACCAACCAGCCGACCAGCGCAACGGGAATGCGCAACAAGGCAGACACGACAACCCTATTGGGGTAGTGCGCAGCTCAGAAATTTGCGGAAGCTGAGTGTTCCGCCTGTGGACTTGTTTCCGCCTAGGCACTGGATTGCGGCGGAGTTCGGATCAGAGATTGTCCACCGCTTTTGGCAAAAACAGTAGTGTGCAGTAAACGATCCAGTGACTGTTAGGACGTGGGCCCAATCGACTTTGATCGGCTCTGATCGGATCGGTTTGGATCGGTTCGGATTGATTGTGATCGTTTTTCTCGCGCCCCCGATCAGAGATGATTTTCCTCGAATGTTTCGTGCTCTTGCATGAAAACTGTCGGCCCATTACCTGGTAGTTGCATCCCAACTTTGGCGATACGGACGAATCTCAGTATCGTGGTAATGTCGCCAACATCATGTCCCAACACTCAGTTCTCGCCGATCTGGGTGTATTCGCAAGGATTTTCGAGACCTCATGGCGAGTTGTGTTACATTTCGTGTAAATCGCCCAGGTCGCCGATCACATGCAATCAAGTGATTGGGGCTGATTGTGTCTGATCGGGTCTGATCGGGCTGTTTGAGGCGGTTGATTGAGTTGGCGCGATCAGCTGATCGCGATCAGCTGATCGCCCCTGATTGCCTGAAATCTGCTTCCCGCCCTCCTCGAAGTTCTTGATCGCCTCTGATCGCGCCGATCAAAGTCGATTGGGCCCACGTCCTTCACTTGTTCGTCAGGTACGTATCCTTACTCAACCGCTCTGTATATGCATTTAGCTCTTTTAAACATATCAAACCGGTCTAAGTTTCATTCCATTACTTTCCTAACCAGGTTTTACTTTCTGCCCGCTCCAGTGTTGGTGGTTGGTCCTTCCAGCCAAGGCATCAACCACCATGAACCAACCGCCCCATCAACTGACCAATCACAGTCAAATTGACAGCACAAATGCTGTGCGCGCCAATGCATTCCGTAATTTCTGGCGGATAACGTGGTGCGTGAAACAAACGCAACCATATCACTGGCTGGGCTCGGATCTGATTTGAGAATGCGACAAGCCTACTGGGGAAAGCGCATCCCGCCGCCAGCCAGTCATGCGGATGATGCTTACGTCATGTACGGGTGGTTGCCAGTGAAGGTCTCAACTGCTCGAATGTTCTAGGAAGCTGATTTAAGACTGAACGAATGTTCCTGAAGCTGCTGTTGAAGCTGCGTCCTGCATTCGTGGTTGCATTCAAACAAGCAATCTCCGCGATTGGGCGTTGGAGTTTGCTGCAAAGTGGGAGGATATACGGTTAGTGGGAAAAAATGGATTGGGCTTGGTAATAGTTTTGAAAGAGAATTGTGTTCATTATTCAATAAAGCAGAAGTGACAACAACTATTGCCTGAATTGTTAGGGTTGGTTCGCCCAACCACGGAACCTAAGGCGAAAGCATCTACGACGGCGGAATGACGGCGAAATGGAAGCGCGTGTGTGAAACGGTGGAAATCGGCCTACGGTGGGGAATAGAGGCTACGGCGTGAGAAGCGGGGGAGAAATCGAGAAGAAATGTGCTAGAAGGAGGGAGAGAGAAGGAGAAGCATCGAGAATGAGATTGACGAGGGGAAAAATGTGCTTCGAGACCAAGGCGCGTTCGAGAAAGTTCGGGATTCGGTCTTGAGGAGTGTTCACCGAATTCGGTTCGGTTGCGTGTGCGACTAGGGGTGAAACGAGGCGCACGCGGTTACTTGGGAAACAAGTGAAGTTACGAATCGCATTTTGTGTCTTGCTTGACTATAAACCTGTTTGTACTCATTCTGGAAATACAACATTGATACCAATCAGATTCTGAAAATTGCTGAAGTGTGTATTGACAACTTCAAGCAGAGCTGCGCATATCATTGGATTCGGGAGATCGTGGAGAACACGATAGGCGATAGCAAATAGACTATTGCCGACTAAGGTGCTTACGATCCTGAGAACTGGTATCAGAGCTGGTTTAAGTGGCGTTTAAGCATTCTTAAGTGCAGAGCGAAGCTTTCGAGATGGTCGGCGGACAATCGGAAGCTAGTTCGGGCTCCTCTGTGAGTATTGGAGATCCCCAAGTGAAGGCACTTCTGGAAATGCTAGCGCAAGGAGGGGTGGTGACAAAGCCCACCATGGGGCTCAGTGAAGCCCAACGGTTCCACGGCAAGCACTACAGCACGTGGAGATTGAAGTTCATAAGGAGGGCGAAGGAAGTCGGTTTTTGGGAGTACTACCGACCGGATGGAGAAGGTGACGCAGCCGCGCGTAAGGCGAGATCGGATGAAGAAAAGGCGGAATACAAGAAGAGGAGTAAGCATGCGTTTTTTCAGTTATGTCATTCCGTTGCTGACGGGATTGCAGTGGGTTTGGACGAATTTGCAGAGCGCGAGAACTCTGCACAAGCGGCATGGGCGTACATGGAGTCTACATACCTCGGGCACATGGACGCGAATATCGCCGATGTGAGGAAGAAGTTGCTGCTGATGACCATGGAGCCGAACCAGAAGATTAGTGACTACGTCAACATGGCGAGGAGCTACAATGATGACTTGACTGCGATGGGCGAGCCGGAAACTGAAAGGGCGATGATAGGGCGCATCGTCAACGGGCTACCTGAAGATTGGGCGGGTGAGCGGCCGGCGTTGATCTGCCACCCACCGGAGAATATGACGAAGCTTATTGCCATGCTTCAGGCGTTGGAGCGAGCAAGAGAGCATCAGAAGCGACGGGAGAAGTTTACAAGGGGCTTTGTGGAGGAGAAGCCTGCGTTGGTGAATGCGGCAGCTGCTGGAAGGAGCTCGGGAGCGTGCTACCAGTGTGGACAACTCGGGCATCGTGCGTTTGAGTGTGTGGAGAACCCGAGGAGTAGAAACTACAAAGGGAACGGTGCGGGATGGAGTGGTGGACAGCAACACGGAAGGTTCAATGGTGCGTGCCATCACTGCAAGAAAATTGGGCATCGTGCAATTGATTGCTACTTGAATCCCAACGGCCGTAACTACAAAGGACCGTTGAAGCAGGAGCAGCAGCAGAACGTGGAGGCCAAGGCTAACGTGGCGGAAGCGGAGAAGGAAGAAGAGGATCCGATTTTGGGGGGAGCACATCTTGCGAACGTGGTGCGTTTACCAATGGAGGTTCGGCAGACGGACGGACGTGAGAAGACGACATGGTTCATGGACAGCGGATGCACGCGTCACATGACATTCAGGTCAGATTGGATGGAGAATGTGAGGGAGTCGAGTGAGGATTATATACTACAAGGTAACAGTGGGAAGTTACCAGTGACAGGAGAGGGTGACGTGGTGCTGCAGAGTCCGTATGGAGTAGTGAAACTGGAGAGTGTGTTGCTGGTTGCGGATTTGAAGGTGAACTTGGTCAGTCAGTCACAGCTTGATGACTTGGGGTGCAAGATATTCTATGACGGTGGTAAGGTGACTTTGTTTGGTCCTGAGTGGGAGAAGTATGCTGATGGTTACTTCAGTGACGGGTTCTATGAGATGAACTTGGTCGCGACGAATGATATGGATGAGATCTATGAGGATCCTGAGTATGGTGAGATGGGAGAACTGGAGGAGTTATTGACTAAGGTTGATGAGAGTGAGGACTCGGATGATATGGCTGCGAGTGTGGAGGCAGCAGTGAAGCAGGAAGAGGAGATAGTGATCACGGATGCAGCAGCAGTGATGGAGACGATGTCAACACTTTTGCAGCAGCGATCGTGGTTGAAGATGAAGTAGTAAATGCGAAGTATATGGGAGTTGAAGTTGTGAAAGGGGACATCATGGTGAAAGGATCAAAGGCGAATGCAACTGCAAAGGGGCAAGTGCTTAAGGAGGATGAACGCGTTGAAGGGTACGAGACCCGAGAGGTGTTGGGTGTAAAGATGCCGAGGAGAAGCGAGAGGCATAAGAAAATCTCTCAAGGTTTGGATGTCAAGGCGCTCAACTACAAGACACATAAGCAGAGGTTCAAGGTGCAGGAGCTGCAGGGGAGCGTGAAGCCGACTTAGACCCTGTGAAGGCTACAAGGAGCAGGGGAGCAGTGCGAGTGGTGTTCGTGGTTGACGAACCACAGGGGAGATTGTTAGGGTTGGTTCGCCCAACCACGGAACCTAAGGCGAAAGCATCTACGACGGCGGAATGACGGCGAAATGGAAGCGCGTGTGTGAAACGGTGGAAATCGGCCTACGGTGGGGAATAGAGGCTACGGCGTGAGAAGCGGGAGAGAAATCGAGAAGAAATGTGCTAGAAGGAGGGAGAGAGAAGGAGAAGCATCGAGAATGAGATTGACGAGGGGAAAAATGTGCTTCGAGACCAAGGCGCGTTCGAGAAAGTTCGGGATTCGGTCTTGAGGAGTGTTCACCGAATTCGGTTCGGTTGCGTGTGCGACTAGGGGTGAAACGAGGCGCACGCGGTTACTTGGGAAACAAGTGAAGTTACGAATCGCATTTTGTGTCTTGCTTGACTATAAACCTGTTTGTACTCATTCTGGAAATACAACATTGATACCAATCAGATTCTGAAAATTGCTGAAGTGT